CTAATTAAAGCCAATTTTAGCTAGATAATGTACACAATATCCCCCCCCCCCAAATTAAGAACCTCTTTAAGAACCTCTTCAGGCTGATTTCTCACTATGTATCATATATATAAGAACCACTTCAGCCTGAAACAGAAAATCACGGGTTCTTTATGCGGGTGTTTACTGTATTTCACCAGCATCCATCGATCTCGCGCGGAAGCTCAAACGAGCTGCGCATTAATTATGTATGAATGTCGATGTTAAGCCGATAATTACTCGCCGGCGATCCGTGAGATCCTAGACATCGACGCTGATTTACGCGGCTGCTGCTCTGAGAAATGTCTGCGTAGCCACGGTCAACTCCAATCATATCTCTGCGATCATATTCAATCGATGGATGACAACTGTGAAACGAACCGGTATCGCGTCTCACGCTTGTGTAAATGTTGTAGGAATAATGCAGATACGTGTGTATGTTGAATGTGTAGTTGTTGACCTTTGACCTCAATCCCAGGAAGCACCGTGCGAGCGTACATTGCCGAAACGAGTGTTTTGTCTTATATTTCGAGAGTTTGAGTTGCTATGGTTACTGCTTCTATGTTGGCATCTATTACATCTGATAAATAGCTTCTAGGCTCCTAGCCTCTATAGAACGGTCACCTGTCTATAAAGGACACCCTCTATAGAACGGTCACCTGTCTATAAAGGACACCCTCTATAGAACGGTCACCTGTCTATAAATAGCTCCACGAAAAGGAACCAATTGATTTGTTGCCATTCATGGAAAACCAGCTGATCATTTCGTTAAGGTTATAACTGAAGGTGATATCTGTCGGTAACGATCCCTAGGAAAAATATCTACAGCATTGGCGTTCTAGCTTCAACCAGCCTCTGCAATGTGCATTTGAGTGTTCACTCGTGTTTCCGTGTCCCGCTTCGCTCCCATCATTCATCACCCGCACACCCAAGTCTTTATCAAGTGCCTAAAGGGGTGCTTATGTCGGGCTTGCGAGCCAACTCGACTGGAAGCAACTGGATTTCGAGCAACTGGAAGCGATCGGCAGCGACTAGTTGCGTCCAGTTGCCCACTGTTCTATTCCGAGCAACTAGTGGCGGCCAGTCGCAGGCAGTCGCGTCGCAGTCGACCGGCCTAAGCACTGCAGTCGCAGTGAATTGCAGCCGGTTGCTTCCAGTCGAGTCGGCTCGCAAGCCCGACATAAGCCCTTCTTAAGAAACACCTGTGGGGTCTCTTGAGGAGTCTTAATGGAGGCTTCAGAGAAAGGAAGGTCTGGTTTTCTCGAACGCTGCCGGTTACCCGTGCTGCAGGGAGGACGTGGAGAACGAGAGGAAGCAGATAGACAGCCTGACGGCGGCCCTCGCGCAGGAGAAGGAAGCCGGGGAGAAGCTGATGAACGAGCACAGCAAGGAGAGACACAGCATGAAGATGCAGATGGACCGCAACAACGCAGGGTTGCAGGTGCGTGCTACGGGAGGGGTGTCTAACTCTGTGTCTACGGGAGGGGTACTACAGCTCTGTCTGTCTAATAGATCGGTAGGGAGGGGAATCTCTATCGTTGCACAGCGTGGCGGCGTATCCATGGCGACGTCACCCCCGCGCGTGTATCGGGGCGGGTGTGCGATCAACGGAGCTACGATGCTGCGTGGCGACGCCGGTGCGTATGTTCGCTTGTTTACGCGCGCGGTGCTGCTTCACCGCAGCCAATCTCTCGCCCCCCGGTGTGGGTACAGACGTTCACTTGTTTACGTGCGCCGCGGCGACTCTTAGACCCGTGTCTCGGTTGGCGCGGGTACGTTCGTTCGCTTGTTTATGCTTGCGGCGATGCCTCGCTGCGGCCACTTTCTCAGCCCCGTGTCTCTCTCATGGTGTAGGAGCTTCAGCAGCAGCTGGACAGGGAGAAGGAGAAGAGTGCGGGGTCGGAGGCTGCGCTACAGAGGGAGCGTGCGCGCATGGACGCGCTCATGACAGAAGCTGAGGAGGCTGGCAGCATCGACGCGGGACGATTCGTCGATCTAGAAGCCAGCCTGCAGAGCAAGACTGACGATCTCAACAGGTGTGTGTGTGTGTGCGTGCGTGCGTGCGTGCATGTATGTTTATGAGTGTGTAAGTGCGTGCGTGCGTGCATGCGTGCGTGTTTGTACGTTTATAAGTGGGTAAGTGTGTGCGTGTGAAAAGCGCACAGCGAACATCGACTGTGGGAGCCGAGCCGTGGCAACTCTCGCTCACTCACTCCTCCCATCGCTCGCTCACTACTCCCGTCACTCACCGCTCATCATCATCATTGTGTTGCAGCGCACTGCAGCGGGAGAAGACCCTGAGTAAGAAGCTGAAGGCGATGCTAGAAGCGCGTCAGGGAGCCAGCACCTCACAGCTGGAGGATGAGAAGGTATGTCAGCGGGGACGCGGGTGGTGATAACACGATGCCTGTAGAGCTGGGCACACGGTAGAATGCTCGGCCAGGTTGCAATCCTCGGTCACTGCTGGTGCTGTCTCGCTTAAAAGTTCTTTCTACCTGATTAGTTTATATCTTTGCTAATAT